TGCTGTATATTTCCAGCGCTACATACATGCATTCAGTTAGGACCTGGGCCCTACCGACATTGTTTTAGTCAAATGACTTGCCCGTTAGCTATATCCTTTGCAAACTGAGAAGCCACGCAGATCAACGACTTGGCAGAGTTCCCACTGGGGAGCTGGAGATTTGGCACAGTATTCTAGACAAGAGCTTAGAGCTAGTACTTTCTAGATAACTCAACTTGTCAGGGTAAATTAAAAAGGTAACGCTCCTGATCAGGCAAGTTGGCTCTCTCGTCCAAGATATGGCCAGAGTTCAGACAGCTCCGGTCAAACGGGCGAGCGACCCGACCCCCATAGTTGGGCAGAGCTGAGCTGACAGGCAGAGCCGCCGTCAAACCACGCTTCGGAAAGCATCAAAAAGGTATAGCGGATCTGATTCGAAAAATGAGTGAGTGGGGTTAAAATCGTGACATTACCTAAGCTTGTTAGATATGCAATATTATCGGCATAATTTGAAGGCACATTTTTTTATGAAAGTAGTTAACACTTGTTCCGGAGGTAATTAAAACTAAAACGTCCCTGCTGGGGGGGGGTTTGAACACCCCCCTTGAGGTTTTTTGGAAATATCTAAAAAACGGCGGCGCGGAGCGCCGCCGTTTTTGGTACACCTTATCATACATCAATTCTACACATGTTGTGGAAAATTCAGACCAAGGTCATTCAAGGTCAAGTCACCAGGTCACTTGAAGTGACCTCACCTCATAAAAAGTTTCAATGTCTGTCATAGCTACACCGAGTGACCGATCGCTTTGAAACTTTCAGCGATTGCTAAGAGCAATAGTATGTACAAAATGTATATCTCAGAATTTTGATATCGATGACCTAAGGTCAGGTCAATTTTGCGACCTCCCCATTATAAGTCAATGGGAGAAAATTGAAATGGGCCTCTTTTGGACGAAAGACATTATAAATACTCCCAAACACCGAATTACAAGTGGTTTAGACACACTGAGCATGAAAATGGTGTCCGTGACCCTTGTTTATGCCCTGAGGTCATCTTAGGTCACGAATTGTATCTAACAGTTTTTTCGCTAATAACTTTTGATAGAGGCATGCTAGAGCGATGAAAACGCCTTAGATGTGTTCAGCTCGACGATACGGATCGACTGATATGCAGCATGACCCTTTCCGGTCAGGTCATGACCTTGACCTGAGGTCAAATATTCAAGTTGACCTTTCAAGGTCAAGTTATAGTTCATTCGATGCGTCTTGACGAGAGGAACACGATGCCGGTAAAAGTAAGCTCGTACAAGGCTTGGGTCAAAAGTTATTGCAGAAAAACTGTTTCCGAAAAACGGCTATTTTTGCAGTTTTTGCCCCCTGCAGGCAAAACCGTTGAAGTTAGGTCAAATCTGAGAAAATTACTCAGAAAGGGCGTTAATAGGGCTATCGAATGCGCTTTTCCGCGGCGCTGTAGCTCTAGTGGTTCCCGAGTTATGCGTTGGCTTCTGGGAAATTTTCGACATTCGACCTGGAAATCGGCGAAATTTTGCCTTCAATGACCTCTGGTGACCTGACCTTTGACCTGACCAAAAAATTGACCGAAGTGATTTCGTCATTATTTTTGACGCTCTTTTGAACGCCGCCTTCCGCGTATCGTTACGTGGCCCAGGAGCCGAGTTACAAGGGGGGGGGGTGTTCAAACACCCCCCCCCCCTCAGCAGGGCGTGGAAATCCAGGACCCCCAGCCGGGCGCGGGTTAATACAGAATGAAGGGAGGAATAAGCAAAAAAAAAAAAAAAAAACAAGGCAAAGGATGTGTTATAGTAAAGCAAACATATAACTTTTAGTAATTCACAAAATAATTATGTTGTTGAGTGCCTATGTGCCTACGACTGTGCTTGAGATAAGTATCACACAAATATAACTATAATGGCTCTAAATAGAACGATGCATTACTTCTAAGATGAATATTACGTAGTTGACGATGCTTAGGACGTTGGAGGAGCATGCTTGACATATTAGAATCCATGCAACAAAAGTTGTCATAATCCCGCTAAAACGAGCCATTGTAGCTTCTAATGTGCAAAAAGAGGGCAGTATTCGTAGGTAAATGGCTATAATTAAGACAACTCTGGGTGATGAGCCAGATTTATGTTGTTCCGGATTTGAAAACAAATGGTTCCTGGCATATGTTATGACATACTGAGGTAATTAGTCGAGACATGTCTTTTCCAGGAATGCTGAATTTCGACATCATCAGGCAAATGGAAGGCGCGCGTCTAAGAGACATAAAATAACGGGCGGTGGCGTCGGCTAGTGGACAGCACTGGGTTCAATGGGGATGCATCGATACGACACCGGTCGAAGAAAAGACGCTGCTAGTGCAATGGTGGCGTTGGTGCAACTGCTAAGGCAGAGAGTGAGCGAATCAGTGCACTTCATGATGGGCACCGCTCACAACAGATAGGGGAGGTGCTCAATAAAAATTATTTATCCTGTCACGAACACGCAAAAATTCAGGTATAACACGCGCAGTGGAAGGGTTGCGAGTACTACGCCCAGTGGAAGGGGGGGGGGGCAGATGTCGCCCCCCCTAAGATCTCAGCGCCCACTGGAGCTAGAAAGACGAAATTTGGAGGGTAGGTGGGGGCCCTAGAGAACTCTGTTGTGTGTGAATTTCATGACCCTAGGTCAATATCTTCAAGGTCAAATGAGGTCAAATGTGGTCAAATCTGCCATATGAGCGACTTTTTTGCGTTTACACGCCGATAACTCAAAAAGTTACCAGCCGATTTTCTTTTTTCTTTCACTATACGAAAGAACATACATTTATGAGCATATGTGGTGAATTTCTAGTTGATCCAACAATAAATATGGCAGTTAGAAGCCTGCTAAGGGTTAGATATCGCCGGCTGAAGCGGGATCGGCCGACGCGGGAAACGCGGCAATCACAATTTTGTGTTTACACACTCATAACTCAAGTATTTACCGGCCGATTTTCAAAATTCTTTGGCCATAAGATTGCCTGTACATTTCTTAGTCTTCTCAGAAACTTTGATGGCAATCGAATATAATCAGCGGTAAGGAGCGCGATGTAAAGACGGAACCGTCCCGCCCCGGCACAGTCTACAATTCAGGCGGCGCGTAACGGCTGACGCCGGCCGCCGCGCCGCGGCGCCGCCGCGGCGGCAGGATGTTTGACTTTACACCGCCATTACTAGAAAAGTTGTGAACCGATTTTCTTATTTTTTGCACGAGAAGATCTGCAATTCAATTCTGGACAGGTAGCCAAAATTTCACATTAATATTGTGCTTGCGGCGCGAGTTATTGGCGAAAAACAGGAGGGGTGGGCGAAATCCGCCCCCCTTCCACTGCGCGTGATAATGAACCTTTGTTTACATTGTTTTTTGGGCCTTGGATTATATTAGACCACCTGGATATAGGCACTACACCCAGAACAGATGTGCATCAAAGGAAAAGATATTGCCCAAATTAACCCGGCAGGTGATGGGCCTCCCAGCCACCTTCCGCGCGGTGGGGGGGGGGCATTTTTTTGCCCCCCCCCCCGTATCTCCGAAACTACTAGACGGATCCGGAAAATTCAAACGGCGTTCGATAGCCCTGTCAAATTTGTCGAAGGAAACCAAATTTCATTGACCTCGGGGTCACCGATGACGTCACAGGTCAGGTCAAAGATAAAATGTTTCCCCGTTCACGGGGCTTCTAGGGAAAGCGCTATAACACCGAGTAAAACGTATTTTGTCGAAAATCAGCGATAAGGCGTCAGTTGTCTAGCACATATGTTGCTATTAGAGGTCACTGGTCATACCAGGTCAGGTCACAGGTCAGGTCACCAAAGGTCACCACATGAGCCCAACTTTACTAAGGTTATGCGATGCATGTTTTATGACCAGTTTTCATTTCCAACTCAATGGTGTTGGTTATAAGACCATCAGGTACGGTTTAGGTCACTTTCTGGTGGAGGTCAGGTCAAGGTCAGGTCAAAAAAGGTCAAATTTCAAAGTTGATATTTTTGCATAAAATGGGTATCGATTCGATGCACCTTGTCACGGGGAGTCTAATGGTGGTCTTTGTTTTGCGCTACAAGGTCTAGAATTGCTAAAAATTGAGTTTGAAAATTTGACGTCATCAATTTTGAACAGTTTTTTTCGCTATAACTTGGACAAAAAAGAGGCATCGATCTCAAATTTGGTATGTAGATAGAAGGCTGTAGGGACTATCACATATATTCCGTTTTTTCGAAATTCAAAAAAACTTTTTCGATTTTTTGGCTATTATATTCAAAAAATCTATTTTTTTATTTTTGGGGGTCAAAATCCAAAAAGTTCGAAAAACCGAAATAGCCTACACCTTTTATGTTTGAAGCATTTTTCTGTATCTCTAAAGCTATAGGCCTGACAGCTCTTCCCGCGAAACCTTTTTTTGGGTCGAAAATGGCAAAAATGACGTCACTCTGACGTCATTAGCGGCCAACCTACCATAGCCTTTGGAAAAATTTTTGGTCACCATGTGCGCTAGCTGCTCCCGGGAGGGTACTGAAGGTTTGGTGACGATCGGCAAGGCGGTTCTCGAAATATATTGAAAAAACTAAAGGGGGGTGGGGCAAAAAAAATGTCCCTCCCCCACCGCCTGGAAGGCTAAAGCTATCGGCCACTCAGCTTCATATTTGATGCAAAAAAAAACAGAATTTTTTACGTGCGTCAATGTGCTTAACACATCGACATTGAAAGCCATTTGGAATATTATCATATTGCATGAATGGCCGATCGCAAGGGTAGTGTTGGTGTATAATAATGAATCCAGCCTACCTCCCCTGAGCTACATCTTAATTACAAATTGTAACATAATTTCATTACACCCGGCAATGAAACTCGCGGTCCGGCCGTGAGCGGTGCAATTTCTGCAGGAAACAGCCCAATCAGCTCGCCGCCACAAATTTACTGCCTCGCGATATACCGACAACCGACACGCGCCGCTCGCTCGGTTCGCCCGCACTCACTTGAAGAAGTACGTTCCGTTCTCGAAGCCGAAGAACGGCACGGTGTAGGTCATCATCCAGATGTTGCCGCCGCCGCAGTCGTAGTACGGCTTGCTCCAGAAGCCATCGGTGAAGGTGACCTGTTTGATGGTCTCCTTGATGCGGTCGCCACTGGCGTTTGCCACCGTCGAGAACGTTTGATAATCTGCGGGCACAGAAGAGAGACAGAAGGCTTGGTTAATAATCTTGTCAAACTAGCGCCATATCTTAACCCTCGCCCGTAAACGGCGATCTGCCACCTTCGCCCATGCAGGGGGGGGGGGGGTTGGTGCGACCCCCCCCCCTTGGCGTTTGAAAACGGAGCGTCGTAGAGCTTAGCGGAAAAAACCAACGGATTGCTCTCGCCGAGATCTCGCGATTGGTGGTATATTTTTTGGTCCTAGGTCAACATTTGACCTACTTTTGACCGGTCAAAGGTCAAAATTTCGGAAAAATAGACTTTTTTCAACTTTCCGCGGCGATTGCGGCAAAACGGTGGGAGATATCGACTTGAAACCTTCACTATCGTGTTCCTTGATCAATTCTCTATCGTTTGGTATGTATTTCGTTTCCCTAGCTCTAAAAATGGCGCGTTGGGAGCGCCGGAAGTCGGCAAGGTCACAGTCGGCGGCAGAAATTCGAAAAATCAATATTTAAATTTTTGAAATCTGATTGTATTTTTGGATTTGGAAGGTCCATTTGCTCCCTATAGAAGCTAATATTGCTGCATATTCCCATTGACGTGACAAGAATTAGCAAAATAGTGGTTCGGGCGCTTTTCAAAAATAGTACCGGACGCTGTTCCTCTTGTGACGTCATAGCTCCGTGACCTGACCTGACCCGGTCAAGTTTCTTATACCATATGATAGCCAATACTTGCCCCAACATGCATGGGAAGTTTCATCACGATCCATCAACCGATGTCCGTACCACCGGCAGGAAACCTCGGGCGTTGGCACTCAGTTTGTGAAAATCCGGCCGGAGGCTGTTCCCTTTGTGACGTCATAACTCCGTGACCTGACATGACCCGGTCAAATTTTTTTTATCAAAAGATGCGCAAGGTTTGCCCCATAAGGTACCCAAAATTTGGCGGCGCTGCGCGCCGCCGTTTTTGCACTATTTCCGAAAAACCGTTGAAATAATTGCATCCGTCCAAAGTATACCTACCGATATAAGCCTCTGTTTCCGTTTGGTCGTTTGTTCAGTCAACAAACATTACATTACATCATTAACCTTCTTTTATTTTTGCTTCATAATGTCACGAAACGGATGCGTTCGTATTTAGCCCGCTGACTGGCCTAAAGTCACGTGACCGATCAAACCATGTTTAGCCTATGGTGAGCATCTGGGACAGCCGTGGTTTTGCGTAGTAGCACGCGACTTACATATATGTAAGTCGCCCTATTCCTCTATAGAGGAATAGGGTGACAGACAGCAGCTAGGTGCTCAATTTATGGATGCAGGCTGGTACGAAAATACCCATGCATGTGCTAATATTTTGCTGACATGCCCCTAAGCCTCGTTAAACATAACATGCCATCATGAATGACGACACAAGATGAACATCGGATACGATCCTGCTTGGTCCCATGTGACTCAGCGACTGAACGACGCCATGTCGTTTCTACCCAACTCCCTCATCTCCCGCCAGCAGCTGGGTACCGGACCTCTGAAATCCCTCCGCAGCCATTCAGTTAGGGCGGCCCGGCTGTTCCGGGCGACTGGAGGCCGTTCCAGGCTACTGGAGGCCGTCCCCAGAGTCTGAGGAACGCCGCTGGACACCCCGGAGATTGCTAGCTTCCGCCAACATGGCAGTGGTCTAGAGGAGGATCAGCTGACCAGTCTGTGCTACCCACCAGGGGGAGGGGGGGGGGGGCAGACGGGGGTCGGTCATGACCTCCAGACTAGAGGATGCAGGAAGTGTCATTTGAGCGATAAGAACTGAACTTTTCGTGGAACTTACTACACCCCTCTAGGTCTGGTGCTGCAAGTGCAGTTAGTAACGTTCGGCCATCATGTTTCAGACATGCTTGAATGTGTTGTGGTGTCTCGAGGTGCAGGCTAATGACCGAGTCATTTGCTGATTAATTTCTAAGTATCGTCTTCCTTTCATTTGCAATGCAATTTCAAGTGGGGCCTTTTCAAGTCCGACGACACGACACGGATCACTGCTGGCAGACAGTCGATGGCCGATGCCAGCAAATTTAAACTGGATCGATACAAAACAGCAATCAGTCGAAGCCCTTCGGCATCGCCGGCTTCAATGCCGGTCATGTCACGGATGTATGTATGTGCTTATGCTTCGTATAACAAGGCTGCCTCTAAGGATAATTATGACCAGTGAAGACTAAAATCCGGACTAGGAAGTACACGCTATGCGCTCATCTATGTGGTGAGAAAGAACTGATGTAACTTTCAAATAGCTATTCCATTTTAAGAATTAGACGCTGATGGAACTTTCAGAAGCAGAGAACATTCCATTCAAATAGATAAGAAGCTGTGTAAGACTCAGCTTCAACCCGACTGACAAAGACATTCAAACTCATCACTATCGCCTCTGCCTATCCCGTGGATCAAATGTTAGTACAATTGGTCCAGTATGCCGTCCCGCAGTTCTGGTCCAAGGTTCACCAATCACCGCGCGTCCCCCATCATTTATCCCCAATAGCCACCGTGCCAGTTGACCTGACATCCCCCAAATCGCCGGCTGAGCGGTGACCCGGTCAGGGGCAGCTGGTGCGGGCCCAGCCACCAGTCGGCGGCCCAGCTGCACTCCGCTGTTTATGAGCGCCATCGAGTCGTCCTGCAAAGGATGCACGACCCAACAGAAGGTGGCCACTGGTGGCGCCAGCTGAACGTTCCTGAGACATCACATTTCCGATAGAAACGAGACTCCTCCAATATGGACGACGGGCAGTTGGTCCAGAGGTGACTGCGGTCAATTTATGATGCCGAGATTCGATCTATGGGGACTCAACCACTCGAGGCCAACCGCTTCTCTAGGCAATCACCTCACGCATCACTGCACATCGGCTGAGCTACTCACGACCTCTGTTCAAACTTCAACCATTGAGCAGTGGGTGCTCAGTTGAGCAATTGAAGCATTTACAATTTGTTTTCATTTCCCACCATGTTCAAACGAAGTTGTGAATACGTATAGAGTTCCATAAAGCACTCTGCCGTTCAAGTACCCCACGCATTTGCCGCACTCACGCGGCAACACTGCAAACCATTGAATTGCTCAACGTGACTCGGCAGGGCCCTACAATCTTCACGAGACTTGAAACCCCTCCAGCAGCTCACGCGCCTAATGAACGTAACTGAAGTGTCTCAGTGGCACACGAGTATCTCTACGCGACTGAGCAGGGCCCTATAGACTCTCCACATCAGCGCCCTAGAAACGTCTCACTCGCCCTAGTAACGCCCGCGCCCCTCCCCTCCCCTGGAGCATCCTCTATCGTCCCGGAGCGGTCCGGTCGGCCCGATGATATACCGAGGTGTGAGAGCTGCTCGGACTCCGTTAAATAACGCCGCCCACGATGGACGGCCGCCCGTTACGAGGCCCTTTGTTGCGCCGCCGAGGTCAACATGACTACATTGCTGGTCTTCTCAGGATGGCCTTAACCCTATTCCTGGCGGGGGGGGGCCTCAGGAGCCCCCCTGAGGTTTTTTTGGTTATTTCTCCCAAACGCGTTGAGCTAGGAAGCTCAAATTTTCTGACTTTTCCTAAAAGGCTTCTACGCAACATGTCTGAAAATTTTGAGTTGATTTGACCTCAGGTCAGGTCACCAGAGGCGGTTTGGTGACCCTACCTCAGAAAAGTTTGCAATCACGCCAGAGCTAGAGTTTTTGACCGATCAATTTTTTCTCTTCAGGCTTTAGTTAGGGTACCAGTATGTGCAATTTGTATATCTCGGAATTTTGATATCGGTGACCTAAGGTCAGGTCAGTTTCGCGACCTCCCCATTATAAGTCAATGGGGGAAAAATCAACTCCCTGTTTTTACCACTAAAACGGGTCGGCAATGGCCCCATATACCATATATGACTTCATATACGATCAACCTTCACTACCTTGAGGTCTGTTTTGCTGTTGGGCAGCTGTGAGGTCATGTGACGTCATCAAAGGTCACCAAAGGTTTTTGGCCAATAACTCCGTACAGGAACAAGATACAGACGCGTGGATGGTCTCATTGTGTTCAGCTCGTCAAGACGCATCGAATGATATACATGATGACCTCGAGGTCACGTGACCTGAAGTCAACCTTTGACCTTGACCTTTCGAGGTCAACATATATACCATTCGATGCGGATTGACGAGAGGATCACGATGATGCCCTTAGTTTGTTCCTATCTTGACTAATTCGAAAGTTATTCGAGAAAGACTCTCTCCATATCTAGCGCCGCCATTTTGACTTTTTCGACCCCTGTGACGTCATCTTTGACCTGACCTGAAAATGACCTTTGTAAAAATTGTAGATCTTGACCGTGCGTATCCGATGCCGTTTACCGTTTGTCGCTGCGATGTGTAGTTTTTGAGATCTGAAGGGGGGCCGAATCGGCCCCCCCGCCAGTTTCTTGTCCCGGCGGAGCCCGCCAGGGTTAATTTGACCGGTAGGTGTGTGTGACTACCACACGATGATAATATCCCTCACCCCAAGTATCTTCAGGTAGTTTGAAGTCATTAATTCACACGTGCAGAGGCTGATATAACCTCGTGAGATAAATAGCTCCTCGAAATGAACGGAGGTGGGACCGTTTCACTTGAAACATAACATCTTATGTTTGCTAATGTTTGTCGCTTATCGAACACGCTGAACCCCCGCTGTTACAGTGGGTTCAACTTATCCCATTATCATCAAACAATTTCTGTTTCCCCATGCTATTTCGACTTTCGATTGCCATTTACGACACGAATTGGAGAGAGCTGCAGCCATAATGTTGTCACTTGAGTTTGTTTTTCATCTTTGTGACCTGACGAAGCGAAATTGGTTACTGGCCAACAGGCGAAACTCGCTCAAATGTGACGATTCTATCACAATACTGGCCGAATAACGAGCTTAGGGTTATGATTAATTTGCAATGTATTTATGATTGTATTCTTCCTCCTGTAAATTTAAAGTCAAGACCTCCTATAAAATTTCTATGCATATTCATACGAACTTCC